TGCATCTCTCCGAGGACAGAACATTCTGAATCAGAATGATCAGGTTGCTGGCATGCTGTGTACCGATGCCGGTCCACGGTCCGGGGGTAGGGGACCCCCTGATTGAGGGGGGTTGTTTTCATATCCACCCTAGACTAATGGGAGATCTATGGGGCAGTGCAGGAAGGTTGATCCCTGCTCTGCAGCTTTGGGGGGGGGGAGGAATGTCTTTCACAAAGATCCCGGAGAAAAGAACACCACCGCGCCAAAAACCTTTTAATAATAATAATAATAATAATAAAGTTGGAAGGGACCTTGGAGGTCATCGAGTCCAACCCCCTGCCCAGGCAGGAACCCTACACCATTTCAGACAAATGGCTGTCCAGTCTCTTCTTAAAAACTTCCAGTGTTGGAGCATTCACCGCTTCTGGAGGCAGGTTGTTCCATTGGTTAATTGTTCTAACTGTCAGGAAGTTTCTCCTTAGTTCTAAGTTACTTCTCTCCTTGATCAGTTTCCACCCGTTGCTTCTTGTCCTGCCTTCAGGCGCTTTGGAGAATAGCTTGACTCCCTCTTTTTTGTGGCAGCCCCTGAGATACTGGAAGACTGCTATCATGTCCCCCCTCGTCCTTCTCTTCGTTAAACTAGACATACCCAATTCCAGCAACCGTTCCTTATATGTTTTAGCCTCCAGTCCCCTAATCTTCTTTTGTTGTTCTTCTCTACACTCTTTCTAGAGTCTCAACATCTTTTTTACATCGTGGTGACCAAAACTGGACGTAGTATTCCAAGTGCGGCCTTACCAAGGCCTTGTAAAGTGGTATTATCACTTCACCTGATCTTGATTCTCTCCCTCTGTTAATGCAGCCCAGCACTGTGTTGGCCTTTTTGGCAGCTGCAGCACACTGCTGGCTCATATCTAAGTGATTGTCCACTAGGACTCCGAGATCCCTCTCACAGTTACTACTATTGAGCAAGGTACCCCCTATACTTTTGTGTCGCCGTACTTACCCCACCACAGCCAAGCCGCTGGTCATTGAGGGGGAGGACGGGGGGGTGGCAGAGACGTCCTTGGCTAGGCCCGAGGTTGAAGGCGGAGAGGTGGAGGGGACGGTGAGGCTGATGACGGGCGAATCGTCTCCCTCGCCTGCAGAGGATGGAAGGGATGAAGATTCTGTCCCAGGGATGCTGGGGGCGGAGGGGAGGGGAGGGAAAGGATTCCCTGACATCTGCTA